TTCTCGTCGTTGTTTTTTTTTCTTGTTTTTCAAAGTAAAAACACTGAGCTTGACTGAAGCCCTTATCATCACCAGAAGTAAGCCTGTCCATTTCATTCTTGCCCATCTCGCAGTAATTCCGCACTTATGAAGTACTATTCCCTTTCTCCTTCCTCCACTCCTGCCCATCCCACCCATCTCTCTCTCTCTCTCTCTCTCTCTCTCTCTCTCTGTGTGTGTGTGTGTGTGTGTGTGTGTGTGTGTGTGTGTGTGTGTGTATGTGTGTGTGTGTGTGTGTGTGTGTGTNTTAAACCACCAGTACCTGGCCCAGCTATCGAGTCCGAGCCTCGGCCGACCGGTACGCCGATCCGTGCCGAGGCTCGGACTACCGGGCGCAGGCATCCCGAACGTCGGAGTGAAACGAACGAAAAAAACGGAAAAAAAAAAATGAAAAAAAGTATGGCAGTGTATAGTCCCACGCTATAGCACCAGATTCATTCGATTTTGCTCATCCTATGGAGGGCGCAGTACCAAGAGGCCAGCCGCGACGTGCGCGCGCGCGAGAGAGAGAGAGAGAGAGAGAGGCGGCGACCTCGCCGCCCCCCTCTCTCTCTCTCTCTCTCTCTCTCTCTCTCTCTCTCTCTCTCTGTGGCAGCGACAATTACAGCTGGCAGCTCCTTAGTCCATACTCACACCGGGATTTCTTTTCAATATATATGTCCGTCGCCGTGTATCTTCCTATGTTCTTGTGGAAGATTCCTTCTCATTTTGCGCATTCAATTTGGCAGGCTGCTCAGTTCATGCACACATGAAACTGTTGAATTGCAGACATGAGTTTGAATCCAGCGGCGACCACAATAACATAGTTCTGATTTACAAAGGATCCGACAGCATGCTGATACCTTGCCCGCCCGATGCCCCCCCGAATGCTGTGCGTCCCTCATCTTCTAAACAAACACCCTCAATGTTGCTCGGGCCAGATAATGGCCGTGCCTAGGGTGGGCCTGCCCCTGGGCCGTGGCTTCACCTCGGTGGGTTCACATGTTCTAGTAAAGAAAGCAAAGGGCCAAGCTTTTTTCTCTTCTTTTTCTTAAAAAAAAAAAAAAAGAGCCAAGGGTGTTCTAGAGGCCAAGGACCAGACCCGCCGTGATTGCTCGTAGCGGCAGCCAATGGTTGTTCTGACAGGATAGGCCCCCAACCCTTTTTTTTTTTTTTTTTTTGAAGTCCAGGGTGTTGTAGAGGCCAGTCAATGTGTGCACAGTGATCACCTGGAAGTGTGAGCCGCGGGTGTCCTGGAATATGAGACCACCTCCCAACCCATCCTCACATCAATACTCCTACAGTCTTCCCCCGAATACAACGTACGGTCATTATAGCTGAATTTAGACTGAAAGATAGGCCAAATTCAGCTATAATGACCGTACGTTGTATTCGGGGGAAGACTGCTAGTCAATGCCGGCTAGCTCACATACAGAAAACTTATGAGTTGAGAGACACAGAACAAACTTAAATAAAGATATGACCTATCCAAGGACATTGATGGGCTGCCATCCTCCCCCGAACATCATGCACCTTCATTGTGACTGCATCGGACCGGAAAGATCGCTTGTATGCATTCATGATGAGGGTGTGTTGTGTCCGGGGGAAGACGGTAGTCTTTTCTCGATTTGTGTGTCATCCTTGCACACGTGCAATGCTAATCCTCTCTGTATCGTTGCAATTTTAACGATTGTTTTCTATCATCCGCACCACCGCCCCGAGAGTTAAAAACAAGAAAATCGGAAACCCCCAAAACAAAAAAATGTCTGCTTCCCTCCACATGCAGAAAACAAAGGCCGACAGAAACAAAACGCAATAGAAAGAAAAAACGAAACGTCAGAACCACTGCCACGATTGGGCCTTCCATATCGCCACCGCTCAAGCAGAGCTGATTCAATAGCGGTCCATCAACGGCTGACACAGCCGACCATTGAAAATTACGAAGACTTTGGCAGGTCACGTAGGGAGGCATGCACAGAGTCCGTTGAAGTCACGTTCTTGCGACGATCACCATCATGTAAATCAAGAACCAAAGGCTAAACCAGAAGGGAAAAGCCATCCACGTGCAGCACTGCCCACGTCCTGCTAAACTTAGATATACTCTATTACTCTGTAGCTAGATAAATGGCTTTCTCTTGCGACCGTCCCTGCAAGATAAAGCCATTTATCTAGGGCCTGCCTATACCTCAACCTGCAAAATCTTAAAAAAAACAAAAAAAAAACAAAGACAACTGGAGCAGAGACAAAGTGAACATCGGAGGACTAATGGAGAACAAAGAGGAGGAGGCAATTTACAAAGTGGAGGAGAAAATAACATCCCCCAAAGAGGGGAAATACCTTGGAAAGGATTGGATCCATCAAATCAACATCCCATTCCCACAATCCGCATTTCACAAGGAAACCTCTGCCTGTATACGTGTGTCCAACAGTATTGTGCAGCATCCTACCGTCTTCACCCGAATAGAACGCCCGGTCATTACCGCTGCACCTGGACTGAAAAATGCCCCCAAATTTCCCAAAATACTTCTAAACGGGACTCTGGACCGGTTTCCCCACAGGTGCAGCTCCCCACCAATAGAATGGAGCACCCGGAACGTGCACTAGGGGAGGCTGCTCGTAACCCCCCCCCCCCCCCTGCTAGTGACGCTGCTCTGGCGTTTCGAAACAACAACAACAACAACAACAACAACAACAACAACAACAACAACAAAAAAAAAAAAAAAAAAAAAAAAAAGAAGAAGAAGAAGACTGGCCGTTATATTCGGGTGAAGACGGTACTTCAGTTGAATTAAATTTGAATCCCGAGTAAACAGAGCACTCCACCTCAAAAGAACCTGCATATTTAAAAAAAAAAAAAAAAAAAAGAACCTACATACAATTAGGCAAACCAAATGGGTAGAGGTGGCAGACTGGACAGTACCTTCCTTTTAGATGTCATGTCAAATGTGATGCCGCCGTACCTGCGATCGGAGAGGTAAGCACACACGCAGAGCTAAGCACACACGCAGAACCTCGACAGACCCCGCCCCCCACATGGATGCAGGAGAGCGATGATCGACCAAGCGCCACACAAAAGATGAGATTGCTTCCATTTGGGCAACATCAAGCCCCCACAAGAACAAGGTTGACATCCATAAAGAACATCTGCCTCTCCTGCTGGTGAGCATGCACTTTAGCGTCTCTCTCCTCCGCTCCCCGCCAGTGTGACAGCCCAAAATTCACACTCCAGCGCAAGAGCCTTTACAAGTCACACAAGTTCATAACGAGCGCTTACCTCTTCTGCATGTGGGCATGTGTTCCACCCTCTCCTCCGCTCTCTTCCAGTGTGGCAGTCCAAAATATAGGCTCCAGCACAGCTTGGAAATAAAGAACCCTTGCCTCTGCTGCATGCGAGGCATGATGCGAGTATGTGTTCCTTGGCAGCCCGCCCGAAATACACACTCCAGCCCATCTTGAGCAAAGAGTTCCTTGTCCTCAGAAAGCCTTTATAAAGAACAAGTGACTTGTGCACATACAGCACGGCGCAAACTGTTTGGGTGTGATGAATGTAGTATTCGCTCTTTGTGGATATGCTTTGGCTGCCATCGTGCTATCTTCATCTTGTTCCATCTGGAATCGAACTCAGGTCTGTATCTCAACAGTTCATGGGTGTCCCGACTGAGCTAGGCCGGTTGGTATTATGCTATCTGATGTGCCATCATAAGGGCATACTCACACTAGGCCCTCAAAATCGCAAAATCCCAAAATGAGCGGCCAGATCTAGTCCTTCCTTTACAAGGACTCTATCTGGCCGCTCATTTTGTGATTTTGAGGGCCCCTAGTGTGAGTATACTCTAAGCAAAATGATGTGTGCAAATACACCAGGGTCATAATGCAATCTCATGCCAACTGTCAGCCGAGGAACCCTACCCCAACCCCAACCCCCTTCTCTCTCTCTCTCTCTCTCTCTCTCTCTCTCTCTCTCTCATGCGGGACTGCACACCCACACCCTCACACAAAAGCAGTCACGAGCAATGCGTCGAGCATGCTGCTGCAGCATAAACGAAAATTTGAAACAAGGTTAGCTTGCTTAGCGGCAAACAAGAGTGGAACGAATTACACAGAGCAGAATGAATTGCGCAGAGCTCCGAAGACTTTCTGTCCCAACAACACACTAATAATACAAAAACAAAACAGAGTGTCAGCACTGTCTCAACAGCATACAAACTTATTTGCTCCAGCGACGATAGGAGACCGATTTTTGGCCTTCCATATCTGGCCTCCAATGTCCCCAACTGTTGTGTCGGACCGGGATTTCAGCAATCTGATACTCCGGAGTGGACGGCTCTGCCCACCAGGGGCAGCACTTTCCTTTCATCTATCCCAGAGGGCCTTTTCCAATCCATCCATAGACAGTGCGTCATCTTCCTCTTCGCTAGGTCTTCGGTATTATTATCTTTCTTTCACTGTTCATCACCCTATAATTTCTTTCCATCATTGCCAGGTCACTCCTTTGCATCCGCCTACCACACGCCGCTGCGCTCGCTTTATTCACTTCGGTGTCAACCATTTTTACCAGCAGCTTTTTTTTTTTTTTTTTTTGTGGGAAAGCCAGACGCGCGTCACTATTTTTTTTTTTTTTTTTTGAACCTTGTATTGCGTCTAAATTCAAACCCTTGGCCCTGAGTTCACCCATCATTCCCTGTACGACACATATTATAGTATAATATATATTTTGCCATACCGAAACAAATGAAGAGAATAGCAGACATCATGACATGTACTCACAGAATCAACCTGCCATTCCCTGTGTAGCACATCCCCTTTATAATTATTATAAATTAATAATAATATAATAGCAAAACTGTTGCATACCATGGATACGCTGGCTGCTAGAGTACAACCTGTGTAAAAAAAAAAAAAGAAAAAAAAAAGGGGGGGGCATTTGACGGTTGAACTGCTTTCCAAGGGGATTGAAACGCTCTGCTCTCTAGCACCGCTGTCTTGGAAAAAGGCTTAAAATGGCACTCATTCCTCCCAACCACAGGAAAATCGTTGAGGAGGAGGAGGAGGAGGAGGAGGAGGAGGAGTAAAGACATCGGACACTTGAGCAGTTTTTCACAGAGAAGACGATGCAAGGACTCTCCTCTCTCAGGCCTCCACTCTTTCGGAAAAGGCTGAAAATGATGCGGAATCTTCCAAAACTGCCCCAAGATCAACGAGTCAGTTGTCAAAATAAAAATTGTTGTGATACCACTCAATTCAATCCATCATAAGTAGCCATGGACAGAGGAGATGAAGACTGAGAGACCCTTCGGACTGGCGGGATATCCGAATAACAAAGACCCTTCGGCTGCGAACAATTGAGTGCTGTGCTGTTATCATCGAGATGAAGTAATGGCCGGCTGCTTTGCCCAAGAGGCAGAGCAGTCCCGCCTGGCTGCATAGTCTATTTCCTTGCCTGCTTGGCTTCTTTATTGTTCGCATTAGGCCGAAGGAAAACCGATACACCCAAATGCAGTGAACGCAGGGTACACTGACGACTCAACTGTGGAGGCAGCGAGAGCAGGGGTACAGGTGAATCGGAGGTGATGCCTCTATTGGCAGAGGCTCATCTGTCCACCACACTGGTCGCCGTTCTAGTTCACGCGGCCATTTTGATGAAGGTCGCAGGATCGGCTTCCACCTAGGGATCATCCCACCTATGTACACATGAACGTACGTACGTGCGTATATAAATTGTTGATCCATGACTTGTCTATGCTGTCTTCTCTGCTCTCTAATGCCGCAAAAATCCTTTTGGGAGAAAATCTTTCGAAAGACAAGGCCGCTCCATCCCTTCATTGTCGACAATGTCAGAGAACTAATCTCCGACCTTTCTCCTCGCCTGATCCGCTGCCTCAGGCAAAACGGACGCAACGGCAAAGGATGCTGCTGGACCCACAAAGGACCACATACAAATATCTCGCCCTGCTCCGGTCTTTTTTCTCCACGCGCACCTTGCTTGCTGCGTCTAAATATGCTGCCCTCCGGGGTTATCCCCATCTTCCACGCCATGTCGGCTGCAACAGACTGTTTCAAGACTTGCAAGACAAGGTCCCTAATTCCCCCTCTCTCCTCTTCCCAACGAAACTCTTGGCGTTGCCCTCACCCGAACAACTGCCTTTGGGCCAAATTGCCGCACCGACTTGTTATTGCCAAACCAACAAAATAAAAGTCTACTTTGACCACACCACCAATCAATTCTATCCACACTTTGCCGCTCGAAGACATCGTGGTCACAAGTTACCACGAACTGCTGGCACACTAATGACATGCTGCAGTGTGTATCATCATTAACATCCATTGTCATCCAAAGAAAAGAGGCATGTTCCAGAAGAGCAAGCCAACCCAGGTGCTGGCCTGGCTGTTATGGGCGAGGTCACCGGTTCGATTCCGTTGTGTCGGCTCCAGGTACCGATCTGGATCGGGCTCTACATCGACAAAATCTACCGACAGGTGATGGCCCAACTTTCTTCCCCGACCCGTAGATTGCTAAATAAATATGGAAGGCCAATGAAAGCATCAAGAGAACTTAAAAATACATATCATCGGCCACGGCATATGGAAGTGGAAGACGATTCCATCGAAACACTCTACGTACAAAAAACCTGGATCAGAAATGGAGGCAAGGTTACCTCGCCATGGGAAACACCCGCCACTCTCTGTGCCAATGCAACAGAGTGAGACCTTTCAACCGATGAGCAAATGCGAAGCAACCAGTCCATCGGAACACTCTACGTACAAAAAACCTCCATCAGAAACGGAGGCAAGATTACCTCGCCACGGGAAATACCCACCACTCTCTGTGCCAGTGCAACAGAGCGAGAACTTCAACCGATGAGCAAAATGCAAAGCAACCAGTCCTGCAAGCCTCAAGAATGCGTCAAACAGTGTGGCAACGTTCTGCATACCAAACCCACACCAGAAATCGAGGCACGAATCACCTCGAGGACTTAGCCGCTACTCGCTCTGCCATGCTGACACACTTGCTGCTACTCGCTCTGCCATACCGACAGACTCGCTGCTACTCGCTCTGCCCTGCTGACACACTCGCTGCTACTCGCTTTGCCATACCGACAGACTCGCTGCTACTCGCTCTGCCATGCAAACAGACAACAGCTTGAGGAGGAGCCGCTACTCACCCTGTCATGCCAACAGACGACAGCCTCAAACGATGGACAAATGCAAGGCAGCCAGTGCAGCAAGCCCAAAGAATGGGTCGGACTGCATGGCGACGTTCTACATACAGAAACCACACCAGAAATGGAGGCAAGAAGCACCTGGAGGACTAGCCGCTCCTCGTTCTTCCATGCCAACAGACGACGGCTTGAGGAGTAGCAGCGAATCGTTCTGGCGTGCAAAGAGACGACACCTGGAGGACTAGATGCCATCCCAACAGACGAGAGCTTCAAACAATTTGACAAATGCAACGCAATCAGTCCAGCAAGCCTGAAGAATGCATCAAACTCCATGGGAACGTTCTACACACAGAACCCACACCACAAATGGATCAAGAAGCACCTGGAGCCTGGAGGACTAGCCGCTACTCGCTCTTCCGTGCCAGCAGACGACAGCGAGAGGAATTACCACTACTCGCTCTGTCATGCCAACAGTGGACAGCTTGAGGAGTAGCAGCTACTCTCGCTCTGCCATGCCGACAGACGACAGCTTGAGGAGTAGATGCTACTCGCTCTGCGGCATGCCAGCTTGGATCGACGGACAAATGCCAAACGACCAGTCGAGCGAGCCCGAAGAATGTCTGGATACTGGGGAATGAATCAGCAATTCAGCTGACATTTAGATAGTAATTAATACTCACACCTGGCTTGGCGATGAGATGAACTCGGAAGGTTAAGTCCGACCTGCAGCCTTTAAAAAGGCATCATACTGACTTGCTGGCGGAAGCTTCATCCCCTGCCACGAATCATTCAAACCAAAGCCAGGCCCTTCGGCACTGGAGACGGGCCCCTCAAACCGTCCATCGCCACCCTCAAGCCCTCCACTCAGCTCCGCGTCCGACATAAACCCGGCACCGTAACCTCCAGCAATTGTCGGCGAGTTCAACGGCGACATCGAGGGTGACATAACGTCTTTTTTTAGAATCAATTTCAGCTTTTGCCTTGCAGTCACAGACACTGCCTGTGCTTGATTTGTTATCACATTGAACGGTAGAGGTTTCGATGGGATCGTCGAGACTGCCCTCTCCTCTTCTCTTGCCGTCTCCTTCGACTGCACAGTCAAAACAAGCAACCATCTATCAAACTTCAACAATTTACAACATTCGGCAAATAACGACGACAATGTTTCCACAATCTGAAACATCTGAAAAATAACAAAATGAAATCCTCAAAAGACGATGCAGGAGGGCTCGTCCTCCTAACCTGACAAACCTGCACATACACTCCCCTTGCTCCTCCTTCCCCATTGCCCCTCCCCTCACCCCTCCACATCAGAACACACCCCTTTGCCCATAAAACTTATCAAATCCTTGTCATTCCTTGGTAATGGCTGTTGTATGGTCACAGCAGGCTGATAAGGGGCAAAATGTATTTGGGAAACTTAACTTCGAAGGTTTGAACCGTCAGGACCCCCTTAATATCAGCGCATGCCGCGCTGTGATTGCCAACCGCCAGGACCCCCTTAAAATCAATACGTCCATGTGCATCAGAATTTTAAATTCAAAATGACCTCTAGAGTCCGGCCCTCCAACCCCCATCCAAATCAACACTTCTGAGAATCTGAATGCTTTCAAATTCAAGAAGGTTTTGAAGAACCCTACCAACACCAATGGAAAAAAAAACAAAGAAATGTTTACGGATCTCCATTCATCAGCAGCACAAGAATAGCAGCGACCACCAAAACAATGCCTATTTCAGGTATTCCGTAAATCAAATCAAAATGAATGAATTCAATGAACCCAACCCACCTGCTGCACAAGTTCCTCCACGCTCTGTGGTGAAATGCCTGAATCCTGAGGAGCTTTGCGGTCCATGAGATCCTGTTCGATGGGTTCTGCAACGTCTAGATCTGCCGTGGAGACACAGGCACGCACAACCATGGGGACACGGACGCAAACGTCAGAAGCTACCTAGGCCAAATAGAAGAACGATTGGGATTTTGGATCATTTGCGAGCAAAGGCTGCAAAAGTTAGCAGCAAAACAAAATTCCTTTTTTTTTTGTAGAAAATTCAAAATTACTAGAAATCAAGCTGGGTTTATGATGATATACACTGCGAGGACGCGGTCTGAGAACAGTGAGAAGTTTATTGGGAGGCGGTGAGCGGAGAAGGTTGACGACAATGAGAAGGTTTCCTAAACCTTTCTCCTTCGTGCACAAATCGGGAAAATCTGAGATGCAATGGTGTACGGAAAGAAGAACAAGGGGGCTACCTCCTTCTGTGCGTGAAGGGAGGAGAGGGAGGGAGGAGAAAGGATCGTGGGGACATGGGACAGAATGGGGGGTGGGGGGTGGGGGGGGTTAAAAGCTGGCTGCTGATTTTTTTTTTTGTTTCCTTTTCTTACCTTCCGGGGTGAAAGCCATCACAAATCACCTAACCGTTGCTCGGTCTGATCGTGCCTGCATACAATTTTCAGAAGCTAGGCAGTTCGTGCACACATAACTTCTCAACTACTGAACCGATACATGGACCACCGAATCGAAATCGACCGCAACAATGCCGACCATAACGGAATGGGAACCGCACTCTTCCTCCTTTGCAACCAAGTAGGGAAAATCCTTTTCTCAAGTTTTTTTTATGCTTTTTTTTTTTTTTTTTCCCCTGGGTCCTAATCCCCTTATGAGACCCGTACCCACCCTTCCTCTCATCAATTCTACCCCCATTCCTGCCTCATTGTCTGCCGCTTAGAAATCATCACCTTTCTACCATCTTGGTGGAGTGACATGACTGGACAGCAGTTGTGGGAACCGTCACCAGAGCTACCATCTTCCCCCGAACACAACGCATCCTGATAACAACGTGTACAGAAAATGCCCACAGCAGGTTATGAATGACACCAAATTTGACACACAGCAAGCTTGTCCTAAAACAAAAACAGGCAAAAAAAAAAATCCAAAAAAACACAAAATTTGACCGCGAAACCCTAATTTCAGGGTCATTCATCGTTATCCAGGGCCGAAAAGTGGGGGTCCCCGTTAACCACTGTGCAGTTTGTGGAAACCATCACCTTTCTACCAGGTTAAGGAAACCTGCTCACCGCTGTATCGCCTGTCCCGTTTTTGCTGCAGAAACATCTGGAGTGAAATGACAAAGGGATGAGGGAACCGTAACCAGATCTACCGTCTTCCCCCGAACACAACGCATCCTGGTAGCGAATGTATACAAGCTATGTTTCCGGTTCGGTGCAGCCAAACTAAGGGGGCGTTGTGCTTGGGGGGAAGACAGTAGGTTGCTGCCTACAGTGCAGGCAGGTAATGCCCACAACAACACAACAGCAACAACAACCACAAAAGAAAACAGTCTCCTGAGTAAGCTGGCACATACCTTCGCGTGCAGATACTCCATGTCTCGCTAACGGTGGACCCACCCAAGGCACTATTTTTTTTTGTCTTCTTTCTCTTCTCATTTTCCTTTTTTTTTTTTTTTTTTTCAATCTTCATCATCTCTTTTTCCTTCTTTTTTCGTTTTTTTCCCTTCTTTTGCGTATTCTGTCAAAAACAAAACGACATAAATAGTCTGTCATCCAGCATCACTCACAATCAGACGCTCGGCATTGCAAGAAATTCAAAGAAAACATTGGCCACTCCTCGCAGGCCCTGATCCTGATCCAACCAAAATGCTGCGAGCATGTTATTCAGTGCGTGCAGCACAGTTTGTCATGAAAAGACCAATTTCCCATCGTCGATTCAGCCCATTCCACGTCCTTCGTACCACAGTGCACTTTCTATCAGCAAGCAGCAGCCCGCGGCCAATGCCAGGCTTAAGCCCGCAAGTACACCGCCTAGGCAAACTTGAGGGTGGAAAATGAGTCATTCCGAAAAGTTCCGGATGAACAGTGCTACCGGATGGACTGCTGGATGAACAGTGCTACCTACGGGCCCGGATGAACAGTGCCTACGGGCCCGACCTTCAGAGCCTGATGAGACCTGGTACCATATTTCGTGTGCGTTTGGCATACGATTGCTACTGAGCAAGCAACGATATTGTTGCATTGTCATCAATGTGAACTGCAACGTTGCAACGAGGCTTCCCTACAAAGGGTCGCTTGAAGCAGAATACAAAACCAGTGAAAAATAGTGCATCCCTGCAACAAGCAAAACTTGAAACAGCTGACTGATGGCTTTCATATAGCCTATATGGCCCCACACACGATGCATACATGACCAAATTTCACATCCAAATACGATCCCATAAATGACCCACAATCTGATCCATCGTCTGTCTGAAACCTACTACAATCCTGGTTTTTAATATGACCCATTTGGGGCCCCAGAATTGCTGCCCTGGCAGCCCCGCAGAATATATGGGTTTTTTAACTTTTTTTGTGTGTGCATTAAAAAAAAGAAAAGAAAAAGAAGAAGAAAAAAAAAGACGCATATGGCCCATATTTGCCCAAGGTAGAACCAAATTTTCACCCCGATACAAAGCAGACGAATAACCCAAACGATGACCCGTTATGCCAGATATACCACATACACACATTCCGGGGTGTGCACACGCGTTCAGAGTCTTCAAACCTTTTTACTTTTCTGCCATTTTTTTCTGGCGAGTTACTGCACAAGGTCTCGGTGTAGCTCTCCTGTGAACGGTTGAGCATACATCTCATTTACAATAGCCCACAACTCACGACTAAGGGGAAAAGTGAAACGCGACATGTACAATGAACAGACCTAGGACCCAGCACATGTGGCTGAATGATACGCCGAATCTTGCCAATGAAGTTGGATGAACTGTTGATAAACAAACCTGAGCTCAAATCCTCAGGGGAACAGATGAGGGATCAGACTCATCAGATAGAATGAAAGTTATGAAACACACTCTTGAACAGACCTGGGATATCCGTGTGAATTGATGAGCTTGACTGATGGGACGCTTGATTGAAGCGTCGAGGCCGAAGTGCAAAGGAATCGTCCGGCGTGAAAGGCTCGACAAGCTTTATCCGGAAATCAGAGCCTTCCATCTGCTCAAGGGGAACGCACGGCACGTCGATCACAGGAAGAAAAAAAGAGAGACACAGTCAGAGCATGACCAAAACACAATATCCATTGATGCTTCTGTCTATCCTGGAGTCAGGGCCTTCCATGACAACAAAAATCATCACAATACAAAATGGTAGACACTGTAAGGGCAAGACCACCGCCAATTACCCGTTGCTGTCTTCACCTCCAAAAAGGCTAACGAATCTAGTTAACGATTGGTTTATGAAGTAATTTTCTCCCCATCCTTTCCTGCTTTGCTGCTCACGATTTCAACATTCAAGCATGTTTAGTATTGTTTACAAAGAATGAGCTCTCCATCTATCCTCCAATCTCATGAACGTCAAACAGTTTCCTTTCTCACAGCCTCTAGAAAATAGTAGAAACCTAGGCTACCAGAGCGGCCCGGGACCACTTGCCCGGTCGGGCTGAAAACAAAAATAATAAATAATAATAAAAATAAAATTATTTTAAATTTGGTAAAGAATTTCGATGTGACCCTGAGGCAAATGTTGTTCAGTTTATTTTTCTGCATAACATAATTTATTAATTTTTTAAAATTTTTAATTTTTTTTTCAGCTTTTTTTTTTTTTTTTTTTTTTTTTTTGCTGGGACCTTTTATGGCCCTTGCACGGCCGGGCATCCCGGGCAAACAAGGTGACCCGGGCGGCCCGGCTGGTGGCCTAGGTAGAAACTCGATTGCCATCAATCTATCTCGTCAAGGTGAACACAGCTTTCCTAAGTTTCCTAGCTTTCCTTCTTTACCGAATCCATTTTACAGCATTCATAAATTTCATGCTCAATTTGGACGAGTTATCCTCACTGATTGCTCAGCATATATCACAGGCAGATATCACGCCATAAGGGAAGCTGAAAAAGCAGTGGCATTCAGGAGAGTTCAGTCAGTCAGCAACAATGTCATCAGTGTCACAGCAACTACGCGACCACCACCTAGGCTAGCGGACCCTTTTTTTTTTGTTCTTTTTTTTTAAGACATGCTAGGGGACCCTCCTGTTTCCCAAGTTGTGACCAGAAGAGGGCTGGATTTTCGCCTGCTGGACTGCCAGACGATGATATGGTACCACTGTACCAGGTCCCATCAGGCTCTGAAGGTTGGGCCCCTAGGTAGTGGTGGTTTAACTGGGCCCTGGCTCCCTGACCTACGGGCCCAGTACGAGTCTCGACGGTCTCAACCTCAATTCGGGGAGTTGCTGTCTTGACTCTATCTCTCTCATTCGCTGCCTTAACCTCCCGCACTTTGTCGTAAACCACCAGTACATGGCCCCAGGCAACTGGAGAACCTGTTTTGAACCTCTGCAGAAATATAGGAGGCCAAGCACCGTAGATAAAATGAATCGACGGCCGCCAGCCTCCCAAAGGGAGCCGTGGCCAATACAGGGCATGTACTGGTGCTTTGACTCTATCACCCTCTGGCTAAAGCAAAGCTACCTCAGATGCATCTTTTGAGCCACACAGGGGGGCGGCCGGCTAACCTTCATTCCCTCTAGTTCATCCACCACAGTCAGATTCATGCAAGCTGCATTCCCTCTAGTTCATCCACCGCAGTCAGATTCATGCACTTGAGCTATCGTCAGATTTGTATTTGTCCGTTTAAGGCTTTGAGCCTTCAACAAGATCACCAAGGTAGGCGTACTACATTGCATAGTCTTACCTCCACAAGCCCTGGGGTGGAACAGATTTTATCAACAAGTAAGGCAAGGTCATCCGACGGATGAATAGCAATCGAAGACAGAGCATGAGAAGCTGCCTCATTACGCCCTCTGGAGCTATACTCAGCATCAGTCACTGCCATTGCCTGCACCCCACCCACAACTTGTAGTCTTTCCTCACTATTCAACTCTAGGAAAGGACATTTCTGCACCAACAATCAGCAAGCAAAAATGAGTAAACAAGCGAATGTCAGTGTCGCAAAGCAGCTTTACCTCTATTGCAGACAAATGAAGCACACTTGAGACGAGCCAATCCAACAATGAAATGGTTTTGCGTCTATAGCTAGCAACATGGGGCAGAATAGATCCATTATATCCCTTTCTTAACTATCTTTGCATTGGCTTTCTTTGGGGTACCCGTCTTATTTACTTTTTCAGCTCCCCTTGTACTGTGCCTCTCACGTACAAGGCTGCCCACATTCCTCGGGTGCCTTAACGGCACACTTGCACGTTATGAAAGGAGGCATAGTAAAGGGGGAGGTATACTCCTGTTCATTTTTCTCCAGATGTTCAGCATATATTTTGTCTGTTCTCGTAATGATGCTCTTTTTTTTTGTATGCATTTACTAGTAGTACACAACGGTAGGGAGGAAGGAAGCAGGTAGAAGATAAGAGTTCTATAGGAACCGGGGGGCAGGGGAGGGAGAAGGAGTAGAGGAGGGAATGGAGGGGCAAAGAACATAACAGAGGAATGACGAACTTCACTGGGTTCTCAATACTCGCCGCTGGACCAGACCACTCAAGGGCACAAGAGGCCAGTCAGTGTTTGGGTTGCAGGAGTTTGTGTGTGTGTGTGTGTGTGTGTGTGTGTGTGTGTGTGTGTGTGTGTGTGTGTGTGTGTTATAGATTTTCCCCACAACAGCCCCAATTCCACCCAGATGAATGGATTCAGAATCACAGCAGTCTTTGTCCTATTGCATACAACAAGAGCATTTGAGATGAGACAGTCACAGTCCAACATATTAAAGCAATTTTATCATTAAACAGTTTTTTGGTTGTCGTTGGGGTACCCCTTCCATTGTTCTTGCAACTCCCCTTTTACTGCGACTCTTACGTACAAGGCTGCCCACGTTCATTGTGGTTGAGCGGCAGCTGCCCACATCCCCGTGTGCCTTCACGTTATTTCAGGAGGCAGAGTAAAAGGGAAGGTATACTCCTGTGCATTTCTCTTCAGGCCTTCATACTCCTGATCATTTCACTTCAGATCTTCAGCTTAGTCTTTGTGTCCGTCTTTCATCTTCATACTTCCGTTTATTTCATTTCTGATCTTCATATCGTCTGTTCTCTTAATGATGCTGATTCGTATGTATTTGTTCGTAGCACAAAGGGAGTGGAGTGGAGGGGAGGGTGGAGGGTAAGGGATAGAAGGTGGAGTTCTATAGGAGTATGGGGCAGGGGAGGTAGGGGCAAAGGGAAGGAAAGAAATATGTGAAGGGCAGGATAGAGTATGGCATGCAAAGAGCAGGGGAGAGGTGCATGACGAGCTTCGCAAAATTCTAAATATTCACCACTGAAACAGACTACTCTGGCATGGCACAGGGTGTGTGTGTGAGAGATAGAGAGAGAGGTGCCAGAAAGGTGAGTGTTGCACCACCAAATACACAAACGGATGGCGGCGATTTAAAAAAATAGATGCACTAGGCGAATGGGAAAAAAAAAAAAAAAAAAAGAGTCCATGAAATTGCAATGAAAATTCGAGAAGACGAGCATGGCCACTGAGTAAGGTGGGCACAAATCTCGAAAACCAAAACAAAAAAAAAACTGCACAGATGGGTTGAAAAATTGACATGACCAGACCAGTATCAAACTAAATCAAACAATGCAATGCAGCGCAATCTGCGCAACCAATCATCTATCGATCTAACCCACAACTTGCCACAAAGAACCACCGGGAAAACGACTGGTTGAAGGGTCAGAAAGGACGAGGGAAAAAATGGGGAGCCGTGACAGGCCATTTGTTTGAACTCGCACTTAAAGGGCCTTGCTCCAACCCCACTCACCAAATGCACAAACGACAAAAATGTTGGCGGTTTAGCTTTTCATGTTCTAGAGGAAGATTCGTTTTCATTTCGCACATTTGGTGAGTGTGCTGGAGCAAGGTCCAATATCATCAGAGAAGGCTGATAGACAAAATATGTATGGCACAGATGGAACCGTTTTACTCAAATAGAGGTTCCAACTGACAACGAACCTGATATAGGAGGTACTCAGAGAGCATCATCAGAACGAAATACAATCCATGTTTCGTCACCAGCCATGGTTGCTGCCATAAATGCCCTATGATACCACCATGTACAAGCAAACTGGACGAGATAACCCTCCACTGCACTTTGAGGGACGAACAGGAAGCTTCCAGTTGCAGCTACAGAAACTGCAAAACTTGAAGAAGGACAGGGATAAACAATAATGTGTGGGGGACCATCCTTACCGAATCATCAGTGATTATGTTTCTTGCATAAGCTGACACTTGAGGAAAGCCATACACCTTTGCAGCTGCCACGAACATGGCAGTCCCGAGCATGAGGAGGGACTGACGCCTCACTGGTTGCAACGCCGCTGCAAAGACATTCCAACGTCACGCTGTCTGTTCTGTCTGCCTCTCTCTCTCTCTCTCTCTCTCTCTCTCTCTCTCTCTCTCTCTCTCTCTCTCTCTCTCTCTCTCTCTCTCTCTCTCTCTCTGTGCGAGGAGGAATGGATGTCCCCCCCCCCCCCCCCCCCCCCCCCCCCCCTTTCTCTTCCGGCATCCCATACCCTTGACTCCCCACTGCTTCCTTCCAAGTTACAACCCACTTGATGTATTCTGAAAATCATATTTTCGCTGTTGATGACATTCATACAATTTCATGATGTAGAGATCTGTTTGAAGTTTGAACGTAGAACTGAGCTGATCTTCTACAGCACTTTGTTCTCCTTCCACCCCAACATCACTCCTCCCTGCCAACCCTTCATGTCAATCAATTCTCCAGACCCTTCATGGACCTTCAACTAATATCTGCAGTAGCAGCTCAGCCAAACTTGCAAATTTAATGCCAGAATTTCCCAGAAACAAAAATACAAGCTGCAACCGTAGAAGTTTGCTGAATGGCATATGCAATGGCACCAGATTCTCAGCCATGAGGAGGGCTCAGAACCTGGTGCCATTGCATACACCCTGCAAATTTAATGCCAGACCCATCCTCGTACGATGCACCAGTGCAGTGCAGGCTGTGTGCCAGACGAGCGCACGTGGTGCGCCACAAGTATGGATCAACCTAACAGACGGTCGAGGGAGAAAAAGGCGAGGGGAACCCAATCAGCATTAATAAACTGGATGATGTAATAGTGCATGTTCAATTAACCAAACTGCGTTCACAAACCATCACGCCATCTTGCAAAAAAGAGGGAAGTCCTCAAAGTCATGAAATTACGGAACTAAAAGAATCGAGTTCAATTAACCAAACTGTGTTCACAAACCATCAAACCAGTTGGAAACAAGACAAAATCATAGTGTCCTTCACAAACATTTCTACCGCCGCCGCGAAATGCGCAAAACGACACAATCGTTGAACATCACCGATGCACAGTGTATGCATGCCAACACCTCGACAGTTATAGCGATCTATACACCCGCACAAGCACGCAGTCACTCTACATGGCCTATAGACCAACTGATACCGATAAAGAGGGGACAACACCACAAAGACACATACAAGCAAATGGAAGCAATACAAAACACAAACAAAAAGGGAAAAAGCTTTGAAAGATAACAACTCTGAATGCTCAAACACAAAAACACCGAAAAATAGCAAACCCCAAGCAGGCAAAGTGCAAAGGAGAGCATGGCCATTGATCACCTACTTTCAGAACGGAGGGCTGTGGCCCGCACGGAGAGCGCCAGCTGAATAGCCCTCAGCATTGTATTCGAACTTGTCGTCTGCAGATATAGTAAACAAATTCATTCCAAGAGAGCCTGACACATTACATTTTGTAACATCATTCACAATAAACTATTTGAAATTCGAAGCGAGGAAGGGAGAGAAGGAGAGGAATGCCGCAGCAACTTCCAGCAAGCACAAAACAGAAATGACCATCATAGCGAAGCTCACCAGCCTTGGTTCTTTCAACGCCAGCTGGTGTGTCATCATAGGGAAAACAGCAAGCCAACAACAGCCATCTGCATGTCTGTTCATCATACCTGGACGAATGCGCCGAGGCATGATAAGTCCACAAAGGTGAGTTACAGAACCCAGGTTGCCTGTTGACATTGGCTGGATCAGCCTGGATGCATCAAGAGACCACAGAAAAGAAAACCACAGAGACGGCAGACGGCACACAAAAGCTGGCACTGAAATAGGAAAGAAATAGCCGTGACAAAACTGGAGGAAGAAGCGCTGAAATCGCCACAAGTTGGTTAATCGCCAACCCAGCACATAGAGAGAGGGTGAGAAGAAATGTGGCAAATGAACAGTACAGCACCCACGAGGCCATGGATGCATGCTGATGCCGCAACAACTTGCTGGAACTAGAATCTCATCAGTATGCTTTCTAGACAATTGGGGGCATTCACATGCCAAGAGTAAAGAACAAGAAACCTCCTCCTCCTCCGCTCATCACATAATAACAGTAACATCACAACACCCAAAACATTGGAACAATGTTGACAGATGAGTAGCAGAGCCAGGCCACAAAACCAATGCCTCTCAAGAGTTGGCAGATAATGAGGACATTAATCAGCATATATATCGTCAAACAGAGCTGCCCGGTAAACCGTAGTCAGAGAGAGGGGGAGAAGAGGACAACAAACGAGGGGCTGTGACAAACTGTTTCGTCGGAGTTTCACCGACTCATCAGGAGGCTGAAAAAGAGGACAACAAACGAGGGGCTGTGACAAACTGCTTCGTCGGAGTTTTACCGACTCATATACACGTGATGCTCATGTTCTCTGGATCGTTTTAAACCTAATCAGTCCCAGAGGATTGTCCATTGCAATAATGTTAAGCTACCAGTGCATCAGACACTCGCCCATGCCCTCCACCAGCATACAAAGGAGTGTGGTCAGGCTTGGCCTACCGTCGTCACCCGAATAGAACGGCCAGTCATTACCGCTGCATCTGGACTGAATGTTGTGCCAAATATGGATTTAATGACCAGGCGTTGTATTCGGTTGAAGACAGTAGTGGACCAAAGTGCCTGGCTACCCCTTGTAGGCTGGACCCAAGCAATGTGCCGGTGCAGAGGGGGCGAAATGGAGGATTGGGTAAAAGGAGGCTCAGGTACGCGGACCCACAGCAATGTGGCGGTGCAGAGGGGGCGAAATCGAGGATTGGGTAAAAGGAGGCTCAGGTCCGCTGGTGCTTTCAACTACCAGTACATCCGAAAAAGCAGATTGACCATCTCCTAAAAATTTGGAGGCCATGGACCCCCTCGATAAAATAAATAGGCGCTTCATGGCCTCCTATTTTTAGGAGAGGCTCAATCTGCTTTTTCGGATGTACTACCTTCTTCCCCCGAATACAACGTACGGTCATTGTAGTTGTATCTAGACTGAAAGATGCCTCACATACAGCTATAAAGACCGTACGCTGTATTGGGGGGAAGAAGGTAGTGGTTTAACCGTTTAACTTGTTTAAGCGTATTATTACACACCTTTCTTCTTCTACAGAAAATGATGATTTCCATTTCATTTTCATTTACCAAATTACCAAAATCATTCACCTATATTAGCTGTCCATAATTTCCACACCATTGGCAACTCATTCGGATGTATGTATACACCATTGGCGGCTCATTCATTCAGATATATATAGAGCATTGCCACAACAGCTATCAAATAACTAGCACAAGTGCACAAGCAAAGATGAAACAGAGTTTTTCAAAAGAAGATGCTCCCAGTTGGAAGATTCAACACTCACTTTTGGCTTAGAGTGGTGAGCAACAAGACAGTATGTGTATCCCATCCACTCATAGTTGACGGGCAAGTTATCTGTCATGACTGCCTGGTGATGCAAGGAGGAGAGCAGCAAGCTTGCTTGATGGCTGCTGAAATGCAACTCCTGCGGATTTGCCTGCCCCGCGGTCATATTTTCGCCAACCCCTACGATGCTGCTATTGTCCCCTACGCGACTGCCCCTAACTCTGGTGCCGATGACGACGCCCAGCTGCCGATAGCTGCGACTTCGCAGCCGTGAGCGGCCCTGAGGCACCACAGCTGCTACCATCTCAATCCCAGCTGCGTCCTCCTCCTTCCCTCTTCCCATCTCTGTTCCCTCTTCCTCTGCCCTCTTGTCCCTTCCTATCAGCTTTTCAAACCGTGCCTTCGCCTGTGCCATTGCTGAGGCAACTGCACCCTGCGGTCTTGCCACTGTAGGAGATGGAATAGGTGGCATCAAGATTGCAAAGATCCTATGCCCGCCACACCTTGTCTCTGTATCTGGGTACGCCATCACTTGCAGCAGTTGCTGGAATAGAGCCTGCATTCACAGTAACATACATGCAAACCTGAGCTAAGACAATCAGCGCTCCCATTGACTACAGTCACAGTCACAGTCCCCTTTCCCCACAGCCATCCCTGCTTCAAGCACTCAACTTTCCACTTGCACAAAAGATGCAATTGATTGCAATGAGGTTCAATAGGTTTTCTTGGGGCATGGACTCGTATGCTTTCCTCAAACACAACATACGGAATGGATGAAGTCGATGTTTGTCATCATGGCATTTGGGCCATCCATGCCCGCACAACAAGGGTTAACATCCACAGCAGCCTCATCCGGAGCAGCCACTACCTTCGTTGCGACCACTATACATGCAGCTGCAGTGTCAGATTGATGTTTGCTGGCATAGGATGGGCGGTCCATGTCCACACTGCATCAATCCTCGTCCACGCCAGCTTCCTCAGCAGCAGCCTGACCTTCTGTTGCTGCTGCCACATTTTCGGCGGCAGCGCTTGTTGTCTCCTCAGCAACCGTTACAGCTTCACATGCGGTAGTCAGACTGGGATCGCCCACGACGCACAGGTACACAGGCGATGGGTACTTGTGAATGTTGTTACAGACAACCTAATATCAAAACCGAATCCATACAGACGCCACAAGGTGCAAAAAAAGACTGCACGGCTGGCCACATTTGTCTGTTCTGTGCCAGCCTAGCAAATGCCATTGGCTGCAATTTTTGGGCACATGATAGCGCCTACCATGTGGCGCAAAACTTGGATCCAGCTGCAGACTACCACCATCCTACCAAGATCGAATCTATCGTCCAAACTTCAACATCGAAAACTAGAAAAGGCAAAACGGTGCCCGCTGCAGTCGGTGTTTGATGCGCTGATCTGTGCACATATAAATCACCAGAGAAGAAACAGTATACCAAAACAGGGGAAAGGGCACCCAAAGTAAATGCGGAGTTGCAAGGAGGAAAGTCGGGGGAGGCCAAGACACACGGAGCGAGAAAGGAGGGAGAGAGGGAAAGAGAGAGGAAAGGAGGGAGACGACAACACAGAACCAAGACAAATTCTCAGCATTGATAAACTCCCTGGCTCCCTGTGCCTTTTGCGCATACTACACACCCTGTCAACAAATGCCTACTGAAGGCCCAAATTCCTTCCAATGACGCCTTTGGCTGCTATCTACTCTATGACATCAGTCGCATGCACAGTGGCGTACTCCATTCAACGTTCATCCTATCTTTACAAATGAACGAGAAGATAACGACACAGTGTTGCATACCCCGACGGTCGGCGGCCCTTAACTGGTCGGATGCCAACCAGCTGACCGGTTGGCTGGTTGGCACCTACCGGTCGGGGTCATCGGCACCCCGCCAAAAAAAAAAAAAAAAAAAGTGGGTCCCAGAACCCCTATTAACCCCACCAACACCCCCATACCCGCCCCCAATACACCCATACAACCCCCCAACACCCCCTTCTTTTTTTGGGGGGGGTCCAGAACCCCTAATAACCCCACCAACACCCCCATACCCACCCTCAATACCCCCATACACCCCCCCTACACCCCCAAACCGCCCCCCAACACCCTCATACCCCCCCTAATACCCCTTACACCACCCCTATATCCTCCTATACCCATACCCCCCCTCATCCCCAAAGTTTCTCAGCGGATTTGGGATGTACTCAGCAAGCGCAGTACAGCCCCCAACTCAGATTTGAAAAAAATACGTGGATGGCTGTTTTCTGACTGGTCGGCAGACCGCCGACCAGTCGGCCCTACTGGTCGGCTGCAATACGGTCGGCGGTCGGGGTAGGCGGTCCGCGGGTATTCAACCCTGCCACACACGAAAAACGTATGGGTAGCCACAGAAACACCATCACCAGGACGTGGCAAAACGCATGCTGAGCTACATTTTGGGCCAAGCATCATACGTGAGGATCGCACAATGCGCACATTGATCTTTGTCAGGCAATTTTCTGAAGCTGTAGATTGATTTAGGACTCTGAAAAGATAAGAAGAAGTCAAAACAGATACTTGCCTTTGCGCAGGCGGTCCCCAATTTCCCACCCCAACGCCCCCATTGAATATTTGGACTTAGAAGTTAGAAGCCACGGCCCCAAAAGGATTCCATACTTGATAGCTTGATTGTTCTCTTGAACTGGCATATGGCCAACGGTACATACCTAGGGGCTACCGTCTTCCCCCAAACATAACGCAACCTAATACCAGTTATATTTCCGGCCAGATACAGCCAAAATGAGGGTGCGTTGTGTTCGGGGAAAGACGGTAGAACTGAGTTCACATCCTGTTAGAGTCACTCGGAAACAAAATAGTAAAATACTCAGGTGACGAGTTCAGAATTTCAGATACCAAAATGCTCTGCTGACAACAGCACAAGAATGTGGCAGCCCCAAACCTATATATATATATATAATATATATATAATATATATCGTCACAATATATATATATATATAGAGAGAGAGAGAGAATGTCAAACCGCATAAAGAGAGACACAGCCCAGTCAGAGCTACGGCTGCACCCTCAGCCACGTAAGCAGAGACAATGTCAAACAAGTCAATCCACCTCTCATGGCACTAGGTCCTTGTCAGCCACAGAGGTGGCAGTCAAGGTTCAGCACTTTAGAATTGACATGCCAGTCCCTTTTTCTTCCTTTGAAAAGACATCGCGCGTACAACGACAGGCTTGGCTGAGAAGTCAATAAGAACATTTGCCTCTATGCTTCTTACAGCAGTCTTTCCAAGACATCAGCACTGACGGATAGTCCACTGCTGATGTGGAGTTGCATGCATAACATCTCAGGGTAGGAGCCTATAAAGGGCAAAGCGGGGACTGCACCTCTGGGAACGCATGTTGTGAGTGCTGCGGCGGTGGCGGCAAATCTGCTACCGTCTTCGCAAGCACCTCCATTGCATGAATTGTGCTCCTTGTCGTTGCCGGTGACCCTGCGAGCTTTTCCAGCACTGTTGCAATTGTATTGAGCACTGGAGCTTCATCACCAATCTAAAGTGGGGATTCAAGCGCACCCATCCACCCACAATCCATCCCGCCCCCTCGAACACACACACGAGCACGAGCACGAGCACAGATACAGACCACGGATGCCCATGTGCACAAAATCAAGCCAATGCATAGTCACACAAAGACATGCCGCACACAAAATGAGGACAAAAGACTGTCACACAAAGCCGCATGTAAGCATGCAAAATAAATCAATATGCTCCTCCACAGTGTTGGACCCGCCGACGGTCGGCGGCCCTCGACTGGTTGGCTGCCGCCCCGCCGACCAATCGGCTGGTCGGCACCTACCAGTCGGGGGTTATCGGCACCCCGCACCTTTTCTTTTTTTTTTTTTTTGGGATCCAGAA